GATCAGTTCCCATGGTTTGGGTGGGCGGCAACCCCCCTCCCCCCCACAACCTGGGACGATATGGGGTTGATAGCCTTCAATTACAACAAAACATCAGCGCAAAAACTACGTCCCAAAAAAAGCCTAAGTAAATTAAACCCTACAACCAGGTAGTTTTTGTCCTTTCTGGTGGATAATGACTAAGTAAATGGTGTTTTGGGATCGCCCCGGACCAAATAAGTAAATACCCATGTTTATTAGACTTTAAACAGTTTTTTGCTGTAAATTTTCAATTAATTAACTATGTCTTGGTAATTTCTGTATCTTGTAAACGTTTTCAATCCCACCGTTGAAAAAAATATTGTTACTTGGTTTATATACCGTTACGTAAGTTCTATGTTTTTTCTTCTTTTTCACATTTTTAAATATTGTGGCTCCCTCTTTTAACCTTCATTTGCCCGCGTGGAAGTATCAAGAAAAGAAGAGGGCGAACAAATTAAGTTGACTATTCGTTTGTCAAGTTAATTTAATATTACTTGTGATAATCCAAACCCCTCCTGGTCCTTAAAGTGTCATTTTAAAAAGAAAAACAATCGTTTATTCTTTATGTGGTTGTTGGGAACAAGAAATGATTGTCAGTGAATCGTCATCCCTTATTGTGAATGGATTGGTAAACACGTATGATAAATGTAACACACCTTGTTCACTTGAATGGATTCTTGTAATGGATTGATTCAGAAGGCTGTTGAAAATGAAGGGCTTGAACAAAAGCAAAATGCAAAATGTACATAACAAATACAAATATACAGTACCCTCGCCTCTGGAAACCTTAAAACGAATAAGTAAATTCGTCCCGTGTCTACGTCTTACAATGAGGCCTACCGTAATAGCTTATTCCCCATATGGGAAATTCGCTAAAATATACAAACTCGTAGGGAACAGCTAGGAAGAGTACATTTTAATGAGCAATCGTACTCACGGTAATAATTTGTCACATTCATCAATGTTAATTACAATTGAACATACATACACAATTAGATATGTTGTAATAACATGTTTTTCTAACAATGGTTGCGACACGGTTATTTATGTTGCAGCCGCTTACAAATGCAACGTCTTGTAGGCTTGTAGGCTGTAGAGTGTAGAGCCCACGCAGCAATTAAATGTTAGGTAAGGCAATCAATATAGTGGAGAGTAGGCCTATAGGTCGCGGTACAACCGACTACACTTTACACACAACACTCTGAGGTGGCTAGAGATCGTGGCAGTTACTTTAGGTACATTTTGTTGCGATCGTTGTAGGTGATAATTTGAAGGGTGTTTTTTAGGGGGTTTTCACGTTAGATGGCACACAAAAACACACTTAAATTGCTTTTAGAAAACAAATTTAGAAGCCAGATGCACCCTCAACCTGAAAGTGGGACTGGATAAAATCTCTGCCTTGAAGAGGGAAGTTTTTGGGACCCTCGAAACGTCGGACTTTTTTCTTCGACGATTTTGATTTATGTGCGTATGTGTACGTCATCGTATATTTATCTGACTATTACTATGTTGATAATGAGCGAAGCTCTTAAAATTTAACCAACGATATATGGTTATCTTTTGTTTACTCAAACAATTATACGGACAACTGTAAAAAATTAATCCAAGCTGCTCCAGGTTTAAGGAAGGATTCCGTTTTGATATCGACTCCGATTGCTTATTTGAAAAGTCAAATTCCTGTAACAGTATAACGTGCGGTTTGTCTTTCTTGGTGGTTGCCGCAATCTTGCGGTTTTCGGCCGTTTGGACAACAAGGCCGTTTACTTAATCGGGTGCTCACGGATCATCAGCTGGTCAAACGGCCGAACACCCCCCCCCCTTACCCCCCTTCACTGCTAACCCTGTTCGCCACATACATGTGACCACAACATGTCTTCATCTACTTGACTTCGTGAGTAGGAACTGATCGAGTTCATTTTATCAACTAGTGTTTAATTCCATCTCCGAACATCCTGAAAGAAACCGTAGTGTAACATAATAGCATGATTTCCAATTGAGCATTATGTCCCTTTTCCCACCATCCATCGGATTATACATTGAGTTTTTCTCCGGAACCGCGGAGTCCCAAACAACATAACTGCTTCCTTGTTTTATAGTCCTGGCTATTTTGCACAATGTCCAGCGACTAGCGGGCCAACCACTTTCTATGGACCTGTTTGTGATTTGCTACGGTCGTTGGGTGATTCTTCGGCCAGATTTCTTTCAGCGAAACTTCATAAATACACCGATTTTATTGCCTAAATATTTTCAAATATTTTAATTGCTCCATTGTAGTGAGGGAAGGGGTTAGATATTTCTTGAAGAGTAACTTTAAAGAGTTGGCATTTCGTACGCCATTAGCAGAGTCCACTAGTTCAGCTATAGGCACGGCCAATCTAGTTTATTTTTACTACAACCCTTCTTGAGTGCAGCTTTTATTTGTTTAGTGTGCTTGCTATTGCACCACAGAATAAAATAAATAAGAGTAAAGAATTAACTCAAAAGTTTGAAATGTATCAGGCATAATACAAGGTACTTTGTTGATTTCTTGTGATGTTTATCCAAAACTTTACATTAGTTGGCAAGTTGGGGTTTTATACTGGATCTACTCATTGTATTAAATAATAACATTTTTCCCTTTATATTTACTGACTGACCGATTTTTTCTATCGACTTCTTCTCATTTTGTACCTTCTCATTGTAGATTAATGTTAGTTATTATGTTTAATTCTAGTATTTAGACACAAAGTAAGATCGATGCAAGTATAGCCAACACCTGCTCTGCTCGACTCACCTGTAGCCTAAGGGACTCACGGACTAACGTTTAACTCCCCCTACCAACCGTAGACTAATAATTTACCTCAACGTATTAATTGTAATTATAGTAAATTATCCTATTGACGTTTTTCCTTTTTCTTATCACGTTCTTTATCTTAACGTGGTGCCTGTGACCTTATCAAAAATAATTGTAAAAATTGTTTACTTTTTGATTTTTAATTGGTGTTTTGAGTGAACAGTCGTAATTAGTTTAAGACGTAACTTACAAAGATACGGAAATTTTAATCGCCATTGCAAATCAAACATGACTAAACGCATGTTGCTAAAAGAGAGCGAACTATCAAATTCACAACATTTATTATTTCATTTTGTTTCCAATATTATTTTTATCTATCCAACATTTCTTGTATCTCATTTCCCGTTTTTATACAGTAACAACAATCTATATCAAGTGGAAATCCTTTGTAGCCATTGCCGTTTGTCTAAGCTTCAGCCGACATTATCCTAATTAACTCTGAGCAATTAAATCCTTTATTATCAAACTTTGTTCTAATTACTTTCTTGTTTACTGTTAATAACCCGACTGCCGACGGTGAACATGTGGACGAAAACCTTAATTAATCATTTCTTTTCATAACAATTACGTAATGTGCTTCCCTTGGGTGATTGAATATAAAATATAAATATAAATGCACAATCGGTTGCAAATGAAAGATATTCCTTTGAAGCATTTTGGACTAATCCATTGCAATCTTCAGTTTTTAATTAAAAATAAAATCAACGGGTTAAACTTCTCTTTCCAGATGGAAATTTATGTACAGATAAAAACTATATAAATCGGGGTCTAACAGTTTATATTTACTTAATAAATTTCTTTCACAGTTTACGTTGAAATTAGTTATCAATCAAAATTTATCCAATCTATTTAGTAATGGTGTATCATTGTACTAATGAACTCCCAAATATAGAAAGTATTTCCAGATTTTAAAAAGCAAATACTTAAGAAGTGATATAAAAAAAACTTACGAATATTATAAAAGGTACTATAGACTTTTCGGTATTAAAATAGAAAAGTACGCAGGCCTTAATTTTAAACATATTCATTCCAAATATTATCAAGTAGGCCTGTCTTTAAATTCTTCCCTGAGGCAAGATTAGTTCAAAGCGTTGAAATTCTCTAACTTTGCCTCGGTTTGCCGTGCCTTTGTGCAGGTGCATAAGTCCGTATTAGGATCTACGATGCAAATTGGTATTTACAGTTGCAAAACTCTTCGAAGTCGTACGGAGATCCATGGTAATGCGGTTTGTATTTTACGCCAGATCTGAGAAAATGAAATTTTTTCTGAGTAGAATCTAGTAATTTGCAGTCTTGACACTTCACCGGAGCTTTTTAAAGTAAAAAATCTATTGTATCCTTGAAAACGTGAATGTTCTATTCCTTAGTCCTGAATTCTCTAATAATCATTGTTGTCAGTAACTGGATCTACACTTTTTAAGATAATGCCGTCGAATTGACGAATACATAACGCCTGCTGCAGTTTCCACTTGAAACTGCATTAATCTAAATTAATATTTTTCTTAACAAGATCATTACAATGCAGACTTGACAAAGACTAGGGAGGTCAAACCTTGGCTGGAGGCCAGATATACAAATGTGTATGTGTATGTTGTCGCGTCTCGTAGTTTTGTGGCAACTCTATTAGTAGTAATAAATTGGGCGAAATGTGCAAACTCACCAGCGCTGGTCCCTTTGATTTTTGAGTTCGAAGCAGACGAACATTTGAAATCATACTTTTCTTGTTGTATATGGATTCCTGCATATCGCAAATTTTAATCGTTAAATCACTTCGTGTATGTGTTATGTTTAACTTCTAAATAAGAAATCATTTCAAAATTTCTAATATATGACTGCTGGATTCGACTGTCTTTTCGAGCTGTATGTGATTTTGATACTCCTTTCTTCATCATCGTTTCGCGGGAATACAGTACTGGAAAAGACCAGAAAAACCTTGTGACCTAGGTACGTCTCCGACACTTCTGTGTTCAGATGCAGAGACGCGGTCTGAACCCAGAACATAATGAGTATACATCCTGTGAATGTGACCGTGAAAGTCTATATCAAGTCAGACAAATGTAATTGTCCTTTGAGACTCGCTCCTTAAAATATGTACCTGTTTTAATTAGTTTTATTCGGGAACCTAAGAACGTTTTTTTCTTGTTGCAGATAGTCAAGCTGGCCGCCACCACGACTATGAACCCCCACTACCACCCCTACACGGAGTTAAGCTCCCCCCACTCCCCGCCACCGGACAACAGTAGCTACCACGGTGGAGGGCAAGGTGGGGGAAACCTCAGCAACGGCCACGGTCACGTGATACCCCACCCTCCACACCACGAGCACCACCACCACCAGCACCCGGCCTTCCAACAACCCCACCACCAACTGCACCATCACCACCACCACCACATGAACAACAACAACAATAACAATAACAACAACAACCAGAACTGCGGCAACGTGAAGGTGTGTGCGGGCTGCGGGGGCAAGATTGTGGAGAGGTTTCTGCTGCACGCGTTGGACCGCTATTGGCACAACAGTTGTCTCAAGTGTTCATGCTGTGGAGCGTTGCTCGCCGACCTCGGCACCTCGTGCTTTACCAAGGCCAACATGATACTCTGCAAAGCGGACTATATCAGGTAGGTCAAGTGCAAGTGTCCTAGTGATAATATTCTGGTAGATCTAGTGAATGTCCCACACGAAGAAGATATGGACGTAGTAGTAAAGATTTGGTTGATTTTTACAGGTGTAACGGCATAGAAACGTTTAGTAGTTGTACTAGCACAATTGACAAATTTAACGTCGTATGTAGGTCTAAACAACTAGTGGTAATGAATAACGATTGCTGCGCGGTCTGTAAAATTCCTCGGAGGTAGGTCTAATGAAGTAGTGGCAAGGTTTAAGTAGAACGGACTATTAGTCAATAGTGGTACCTAGTAGCTGTGTTGTTGTAGCTGGTCAAATAATGTCAATGATAACACTGATAGGTGAAAATAACCTAGAAGGTTAATGGCGTAGTGGTTAAAATTCAGTAGGTTAATTGGTCTAAGAACAATCAGGGTTACTGGATTAGGACTTAAGTAGTTCTGATAACGTGGTGTCAAAAAGATACTTTATTTAGGACCACTGGTAATAACGAAATTGACGGCTATACGAGATATTGAAGCGTCGTTATATTATTGCCACTATAGGTAATGGATTTACCTAAATCGTCACTACAAGTAGTCGTACGGACTATATTTTTGAAGTTGCCTACGAGCTAGTTGTAACTTCATAGTTCCAATGGCAAAATTTATTTTCAACTAGTAGTCCAGTATAAATAACCTAAAAGGTGTGATGGAGCAGTAGCATGGTTTCAGTTGGTAGGACCAGCGTAGTAATAATATTATTCCTAATATTCCTTGTTCGCTGGGTATGTCATGTGACAGGGACCCTGTAGATGGGTCAACATAATACATTTTGTGTGACAATTAATTTAGTAGCGTCGAAGAAACTGGTAAGTCCTAATAGATGACCTGCAACACTCACACGGTGAGCGGATAAGGTAACAGTTATTTTAGTGCATTACATAGGGATTCTTTTAGACAATAGCTTTTACCGTTATCATTCCAATTCACCATCTTTCAAATTTTTTTCTTCGGAAGCACAACAAGGACACATTGTAGAAACAATTAATTTGATTTTAAGCGCAACAGTGTCTATTAAACTACACATTATGAACACTACAATTACACTCAAATATCAAGATCTATGATTGTAGCGAACGTCGGATAAAATCAAGTCTCCGAGATGTAACAATGCTGGGATTCGCTGCTTGCATTTAAACGTTTAACACTGATTGGTGGCTGAATTTGATTTGCTCGCGTTTGCTTTGGCGCAAATCATGGTAGGTTGTAGGTCGAGATGTCGATGTCTTACACTCGTCACTGCTCCACTTTACAGTCTCTACAATCGCGGATTAAGCTTAGTTGATTCTAAATTGAAACTATACAATTACATTTTCTTATGGAATAAAGTTGATTTATCTCCACAATGAAAAAAAAAACGAATCCATTGCCAAAAAGGTGTTAATAATGAATTGATCCCTTTGGTTTTAAAACTTTTGATTAAGCATGCAATAGAGTGAGGATTTGATAATTATTTATGGTAATAAGTGTTTATGTGATGAATATCGTGTCAGCGTACCTACAACACGAGTTAATAATAATTATTGACACTGTTGTTAGGTAATAAGTAGGTGTTAAATAGAGAACATAATTCTACGATTTATTAATTTTCCTCGAACTCTAAAGACGGTGACACACTATCGATCTTTTCCCCGAACAAGACCCCGAACCGAGCAGGGAGAAGGGAGAAGGGAGGTCGAAGGGTTCGATAGTTCGAGGTTCGATAGTGTGTCACGGGTCCGTACACCGATCAAGACCCCGAACAAGACATCAGGCCGAGCAGGGAGACGAGCGCTCTGGAGGCGGTTTTTTGGCGAAAGATCAAAGAAAAGATCGGTCCGATGTACGGTCCGATGTACGATATTGTGTCACGGTACATTTTTGCCCCGTACATCGTCGCGAGCGCCGCACCGAGCGGCCGCCTGCGCTAGCATTGATAGTTCTGATTTAATATGGCAATTAAACTCTTTAATTGGTAAAATAAATAATTGTTGGGTAATATGTTGCCGTTATATATTATAATCATTTAAGATGTAATGTTTGTGGTTTGTTTGGTCAAGGTTGAAAGTGTAGAAACCGTTAAATCAATTATATCAATAATATTAAGGTTGAATTAAGTAATTGATGTTGACTTAAATTCTTTCAAAAATAATATAAACATTAATATTATTAAAGGCAATTAAAATGATCATTCTGTAACGTTATTTCAATGAATAAAACCAATTGAAATAAATAGATATAACTAAGCATCCTTTCTAGAATATTTTATTTTTGCGACAAGTTTTCAAAATGCGACTTTTAACAATAATTTTTATGTTATAGAAACTTTTTGGCTTTGGTCTGGTGTGCACCCCCCTCCCCTCCCTCTTCCACGGCACTGCCTCCGCGCTCTCACTCGCACACACTCTCTATCTCTCTCCAAACTTCCTTTTGCCGCGCTCGGTAGAATTCGTCTGGTCTTGGTCATGTTCGGGGAAATGTTCGGAGTAAAATTTTGCTGATATTTATCTCCCTTCTCCCTTCTCCCTTCTCCCTGCTCGGTTCGGGGTCTTGATCGGGGAAAAGATCGATAGTGTGTCACCGCCTTAACTCGGTCAATCATTAGTTTTAGTAGAAGACGATACACAGACCTTTTTCATAACAGATGGTAATAATTTTTGCTTCACGAAGGAATTTTACACTCAAAATCATATCTCGTGGTTCAACAAAACTAAATTCCCTCCAATCGCCCAAATATCCCCGACCGTTCTCCGCGTAGCTGACCATGACAAACGATGTAGCGGACATCCCCAGTACACACGTCTGGAATGTTGCTGTTGAGTGTAGTGATGTAGAGATGTAGACGAGTCTATTAGTAGACCATACATCACTGACCGGTGAGTTACCACAACCCACTCTGTAGACCGATTAACAACTCAACTCTACTCTCCTACTCTGCCCCATTAGACCAAGTCTAGTGTTTTGCAAACTGTTAATTAAAGCTTAGAAAATGCGTTGCGATCTTTCTGCTGCGGTAAATGTGTAGTTCTGTTTGTTGTTGATCTTGTGGTGTTACTTAAATATGATTTGTTGAAAGTAGGTGTTGCGTATTCTAAATGCAAATAAATAGTTTTAGATTTGTTTAGCAATTTTTGTATGAAGTAAACAAATTGAAATTTATTGACCAATGTACATAAATAAATACATTACTATCCGTTTAAGAATCTCAAAGTATCACTAATTTTAGACCCTGCAAGTACACTTTTCATCCTAATGCATGATTCTGTATGTAATTTTTTTTGTGTGTTTTATGTAAAGAATTTAGTCAGAAGCCATTCAATTCATTGATACTAACTCATTTAATTTTTACAGAACAAACCTAAAATGGTTTTAGTTGCAAGTAGCAGAAGGTTAAAAATAGTTTATAATTGTATCGTATAACACGTTTTAAAGTCTTTTTTAGAATAAATAGCAAAAATTAAATGTACAACAATAAACCATACTCTACATAATAATATATTGGTTAGAAACATAACTTGTGATTTGTAACATTGACATTGTAACATTATCATTGTAACATTGTAGCATTAACTGATCATTTTACTGATCCATTAAGGATTGAAATCTATTATTTACTGTGTTTGACCTATATTATCAAATTAACGTGTGGTGATATATCAATTTTATTATAAATTATCAATTTAGGATGGGGACGCCACTATGTGCGTATTTTAGCCCAAATATGGGTGTGGGATGAGTGGCGCGTTATATATTATAACTACACATTATAATATGCTGGACACGCATAATAAAAATCCTTCAATGCTGCAAATGAAATTCAACGTTCAAAACACTACGATGATAAATACAAATGAGTCAATAAATTTGAAAAATCGCCAATACAAATTAGTCCCCTATCTAACAATATCGTACTTAAAGTAAAATAAAAAAACGTATTCATAAGGAAAACAGTAGATTAATAAGGAACCCACGATTTATTATTCATAAGCGCGGTTATATTTATAAGTTTGATCAATACAGAACATCGCATGCAGATGCAACACTAAGCGTTCAACTGACAGCAATGAGTACAGTATGTTTCATATTTTATTGGCCGCCTTGTATACACAGAACGCACAGTAGGAGATAATGGTAACTTATATTACCTCCACAAACTTTGGGGATAGCTAGCCTGGTAGAGCGCGGGACTTCGTTTCTCGGGGACCCGGGTTCAAATTCCGCCAATCACCAAGTGATTATTGCCACGACCCTCTCCGCGCCTAGTCTGAAGCTATGTGTAAAACAATTCCGGGCTAGTACCTATAGGGGAAAACTGCCAATACTGACGCTCAGTTAGTGAGCGGTGGTAGAGCGGCACGAGTGGCGTACGCTTATACGGATCATTATGGAAAATATTACCATTTGCGTCTTCAAGATTGGTCACGAACGCTTTAAATCGTCCTATTATTGTTTACAAATTGCAGGTAATACGCGGGAATCGGTCAGGTTTGTGTATTGGTTCGGTCATTCTTATTTCAGTTTAGTTTAAACATGTTTGACTGTAATTCTCAGCTTTTAGTTCAATGCACGATTGAATTTTCCGTGATACTGCAGCCTAAGCTGTGGTTTTCATTGCTTCGGAGTTAAGAACATCGGGTATAAATGTCTCACTTGCAAACTAAGATTGAACATTTGCAAATGAAAGCAAATCGCCGATTTTAGTTCATTGTTGCATGTTTATTGTCTGGATTTCAATTTGTATACCTTTTATGTAACATGATGAGGGACACTGAAATAAATTGAAATTGAAAAACTCCTAAACAACACATAAAGTTTATTTAGTAAAATGTATGAGACTATTCAGATAATAGGTAAGTTCGGCAAAACCTAAATTTATAATTAGAGCTTACATTCTCTTTTAATACATTTAAAACTCATCCTCATCTAAACAACTATAGGATCACAAATGACCTACACAGGAATCATATTTCATC